AATATAGTTCAGATTTTAATCCCATCTATTGGTTTCAAAGGTATTATGTCTCTTTAAGTTGTCTTTGTAGACCTCTACTTTATGTTGGCTTTAGCTTAATTCTCAAAGGATAATCCCCTTATTGCTAATGTACTTATTCAGTAAACAAATAATTTTATGTTACATTTTTTTTTGGTTTTGTTTTGTTTTTTGAGACAGGGTTTCTCTGTGGCTTTGGAGCCTGTCCTGGAACTAGCTCTGTAGACCAGGTTTATGTTACATTTATATGCCAAATTTTATGCTTGTTTAGAATAATATCTCAATAAGCAAAAAGGCCAGATTTCTGCTCTCAAGAATATGACTAAGCCAGGAGGTGGTAGTACACGCCTTTAATCCCAGTACTTGGGAGGCAGAGACAGGCAGATCTTCCTGAGTTCAACACCAGCCTGGTCTACAGAGCAAGTTCCAGGACAAGCTCCAAAGCTACCCAGAGAAAACCTGTCTAAAAAACAAAACAAAACAAACAAACAAATTGACTGACTACTAAGGAATTTCCAAGTTCTTAGGGTCATCTGATATTTGTTTCCAAATGACAATTACAAGGTCCAAAATGCTATTCTCAAATCACATAGCAGTAAAATTATACATAAAAACTCTAACTCAATAGCTCACAAGGAAAACAGGCTATCTTTTATCAGATAAATCGTAATCATTCATTTTTAGCAGTGGCCTTCACTACTGAGCCCAATGCAGAAATGAAAAGGAGCCAACTAAATGAAGTCAATGGGTACCTAGAAATCTACCAAAGGAGGGACTACTAAGTGGTACCCAGAAATAGGTGGTAACTACAGAATTCCCTTATTTTTGGTTATTTTTGTCAGGAAGAATTCATATAATTCATGAGCTAAATGATAACAGAAAAAAAAAACAAAAAGCATCTTTTATCAGAGAAAAAAACTTAAATGCTTAGGTAGAAGCTGAATAAACACAAGCAGATAAATACCAACTCAGGCTACCTAAATAGGTTTTCACTGATGTCATTTTGTTGCTACATTATCTGGTATATTTTCATCTCTTTATTAAAAAGAAGCAAAAAGAGAAGAAGGAGGAGAAAGAAGATGAAGTTGAAGTTGTTGTTATCCAAAAAATACTGGAAAGTATAGAATAAGAAGAGATCATAAAATATAAACGTTCAGTTATATATCTTATTTTAGACTTCTATTATGTGATTATTTTTTTCATTTCATACCATTGACGCCATAGCAAACATGCAGTTGTTTATCTTGCTTTTACCATTTAGTTCAGGATGTCTCCCCATATACTCATTCTTCTAAAGTAGGGAACACAAGACAGTATCTGTCCTAGTCACTCCCTGCTGCTGTGAGTTCCAGGCTAGCCTGATCTGCATACTGGGTTACAGGACAGCCAAAGTTACATAGAGAGATCCTGTTTCAACACACACATGCACGCACGCACGCACGCACGCACGCATGCATGCACACACGCACAGAAAATAAACAAAAGGATTGCACTACAGTCATGCATCACCATGCCTAGTTTTTGATACATGCACACACACTAAAGCAAAGGTCTTGCTATGTATCTGAGACAAACTCAATTTTATTTAAGTGTGATTGTGTGTCAGTATGCATACATACATGAAGGTGCCAGAAGTTATTAACCACCTGATATAGGTGCTGGGAACCAAACTCAGATCCTCTGGAAGAGCAACAAAAGCTTTGTTGTTGTTGTTTGTTTACCCAAACAGGCTTTCTCTGTGTAACAGCCCTAGCTGTCCTGGAACTCATTTTGTAGACCAGGCTGGCCTCAAACTCACAGATATCCACCTGCTTCTGCCTCCCGAGTGCTGGGATTAAAGGCATGTGGCACCATGCCCCATGCACAACAAATACTCTTAACCACTAAGCCATCTCTCCAGTTCCCCTTAATTCCCAACAAAAGCAATAATTCTTTTTTTAAAATTTTATGTGGGCAAATGTTTTGTCTGCATGCATGTGTATCACTTTTATGCCTGGGACCCATGGAGGTCAGAAGAGGACATCAGATGCCCTAGAACTGGAATTACAGGTTGGTGTGAACCACCATACAGGTTCAAAGCAAACTCTGTGTGCTTGGAAGAGCAGTCAGTGTTCTTAACCACTGAGCCATCTCTCCAACCCCAAAACTCTTGAAAGGGTAGTTAAGAGCCATGAACTTTTTAGATATCCTGATATTTATGCCAAATGTTTTCTGTTCAAATTTTCTAGCACTATTTGAGGGCAGCTCATCTTTCTTAACTGTACTATTTATTTCTTTGTTTTGCGGTATGGAGTTGAACCTAGCGTCTTTTGCATACTAGGCAAGTGTTCTACCACCTGCCCAGATCCCAAGCCCCTAGATATTTTCACTTTATTTATTTATTTTATTTTTATGATTTATTTTTATTTTATGTACACTGGTGTTTTACCTGCATGTACATCTGTGTGAGGGTGTCAGATCTCCAGAACAGGAGTTCTAGACAGTTGTGAGCTGCCATGTGGGTGCTGGGAATTGAACCCTGGACCTCTGGAAGAGCAGTCAATGTTCTTAACCACTGAGCCATCTGTCCAGCCCGATATTTTCACTTTAATCTTCATCAGGCTAAGTTAAATAATTTCTTATCTAAATCTGAAATTCCCCCACAACTCTATTCTGAACCCAAGTGTAAGTGAAAAACACAGAAAGTCTCAGAATCACGTTGTCCTCCCCTGGTGCTCTGACTCTTTCAGTTTCTTGTCATGGTTCTGGGAAAAACAACAACAACAATTACTACTACAACTTGGTCCTCCAAGGACCACCTGGAGCCAGAAGGCATACCGGCAGAAGAGAAAACGAAAACAAGCATCAGCAAACAAGTAGGATCTTGCTCTGTTGTGTGACTTCTTGCTATGTGACTAGTAAGTCACTTTGCCCTTCTCTGTCTCTCTCTGGGTCTCAATTTCTTTACTAATATAATGAGCATAAACTATCTATTTCAGGGTTATCATAAAAATTCAACGAGAAAGTATGTGATGTTTCTCGAAGCCTGGAGGGGTAGGTACACTTCCAAAGAAGTGAGTCTCCCGATGTAATATTACCAAACTAATTACTTCACTCAAATTACCTTACATAGAATAACACCAAGAACTAGTCAACAAAACATCATCTTCCATAAAAAAATATCTGGGTCAGCTTTCTATCAACTCAGTCTCCACCACTATAATCATGCAATCATCAGCTACCACAGCCAGAAAACAAAACCCACAGTCAGTGCTACTAAAATTGCTAAATACAGTAATTACTTGATTCTCAAGATCATGTCGACAACAGAAATCTTCACAGCCATTCAGCACAAGCTGAACAGTTAGCCTTAGCAGCGGTCCCTACAGCAGAAGGCTGGTCACCGCCCAGAGGAAAGGCACATTCAAAGACTTTCTCAAGCTGCTGTTTTCTCACACTCCGTACTTTGCGAGGAACCATGTCAACAAAAACACTGAAAGGGTAAGGACAGAAAGTGGTCTGTTGTTTGGTTTGGTTTGGGTTTGGTTTTTCAAGACAGGGTTTCTCTGTGTATCTTAGGCTGTACTGAAACTCGCTCTGTAGACCAGGCTGGTCTCAACCTCGCAGAGATCCCGCCTGCCTCTGCTTCCCAAGTACTGGGATTAAAGGCATGCGCCACCACTGCCAGGCAAGCAAGGGTATTTTGAAATTTGGCTTTTGACATTTAGCCTTCTTGACACTAACTCTTGACAAGAGGCTCTAAGGTAGTCTTGAGGAGGAAAGTATATTCTGTGAAGTCTATCAACATGGTTCCTTTCTATGAACAACAAGCAGAGCCAGTGAGACTGCTCAGCTTAGCAAGCCTGACCACCTGACTCTGATCCTCAGAATCCACACAGAGGTAGAAGGAGAGAAGGCTCCACAAAAGCTGTCCTCTAACCTTACACAGACACCATTATGGCATGGACATACAGCCTCTCCAAAACTTAAATAAATAAAAGTAAAAAATACAGCTTGTTAAAGTGAGATGTTGCCAGGCATCCCCGGTGGCTCACACCTTTAACATTAAACTTGGGAGACAGAGGCAGGCGGATCTCTAGGAGTTTATAGCCTGCCTGGTCTACATATCCAGGTCCAGGCTAGCCAGGGCTACACAGTGGTACCCTGTCTCAAAACTAAAACCAAATGTGGATCCCTCTAGGAAAGGAAACAAAGCATCATTCCCTGAGCACGTATGTTTACAGAGCTTCACGTGCTTTTATATGTTCTCTCTCAGGTCAAGCTACAAGGCAGATCTTGTATTTCAACAAGGTAAATCGAGAGAGAGGTAAGAGTATCATGAGGTCAAGGCCAGCCTGGTCCACATAAGTGAGATCCATTTTAAAAAGAAAGAGAGAAAGAAAGAAAGAAAGAAAGAAAGAAAGAAAGAAAGAAAGAAAGAAAGAAAGAGAAACCATTAGGTAATGAGCCCTAGGCCTCAGTCATTACATGGCAATGTCCAACTCCAGGACCCCAATCTACCCAACTCTGAAAAGTTTTGTTTGTTTGCTTTGTTTTGCTCATCTGCCTTTATAAAATGTCAAAATGAGGGCTAAAGAGATGGTGCAGCAGTTAGGAGCATTGGCTGCTCTTCCAGAGGACCAGTGTTCAATTCCCAGCACCCACATGGCAGCTCACAACTGTCTGTAACTCAAGTTCCAGTGAATCCGACTCCCTCACAAAGACATGCAAGTCAAACACCAGTGCAGATAAAAATAAAAAATTTAAAATGACAAAATGAATACCAATTCTCCCTTATGAGAAAAAAATCCAATTCTTATCATGATTCCAAAACAAAACAAGCCCAACAAACAAACACCCACCAAAAATAATGACCATTCCTGTCAGCAGGTCGCTTTCCTGCTTTCTGGTAGGTCTTTAAACCGTACCCAGGAATCTGGGATGCTCATTGTTTGAGGGGGGCAGGGCGGAAGGGGTTAAATCTTAAAGCTCAAAAATGATACCTGTTGACAACCACAGAGCGCCGAAGCAGAAGAAAGTATAGAGCAGGTACAGGCTTCTCAGCGGCTTCACTGATGTCTGCCAACAATATCCTGGCAAAATCCAGGAAGCAGGACTTGGCTTGACTCCCAGCCTCTTCTCCATGGCCTTCCAGAGAGGCAGAACCAATACACTAGAAAGACAGAAGGAGATAAAATTATATGCCAAGTAATTAATAATTGATTCCTGGAAATGTGGAATGCTAGAAAATGTGACAGATCAGGAGAAAGAGAAATTTCAAGTGTGTCTTTCAATTGTTCATCCCTGCCAGTAAGTTTTCAGCCCGAGCTTTGGCAGAGCCTGTAATTATCAGTGTAACAACAGAGCAAGAGATATAAAATGAATCTGCTGTGAAAGAGGAACACTTACATTCCACTCTTGTCTAACCTAACAGCAGATCTGTGACAGAATGGGTGAGAACACCAACCTGAGGAAGCAGCTTTGATTTTTCCACTTCGACTCCTCACTGCTCTGTGACTCTGACCAAAGTACTTTGCTATCTACAAAGAGGTTGGACTTCTTCTAACTGATTTTCAAGATGAGTCTCTTCAGGCACAGCAATTACCGTCCAGCTTGCTTCCTGCCCCACCATCATTATCTTACAAGTCTACCCGACTTAGGCTTTTACATCATTTGCTGGCTTCAGATCACTTGCAATTCCTATCTTCAAACCTTGCACACTGCTCCCCACATAGTAAATTTTGTACTGTGCTGGCTACTCTGGAATCTAGTGGCTGTAGGACATACGGGGTAGAGGAGAGGAGAATGACACCGATTTTTCCAGAAGTTTCTTCCCTCTTGGATAAATCTTGACAACATATGAGTTGATAGGGTTTTGAAAAGGCAATTAAAAATCTGTTGGCTAAGCATGGTATCTCATACCGAAGTGCTAGCTGCTTGAAAGATTAAAGAATTGCTTAAATCCAGGACTTCAAGGTCAGCCTAGACACTGTCCCAAAAAAAAAAAAAAAATTTTTTTTTAAATCTTCTGTTGGTAGTAGTGGTGAACGCCTGTAATCCCAGTGCTTGGAAGGCAGAGGCAGGTGGATCTTTATAGGTTCAAGGCCAGTCTGGTCTACAGAGTGAGGTTTTTTTTTTTTTTGGTTTTTCGAGACAGGGTTTCTCTGTTTTTGGAGCCTGTTCTAGAACTAGCTCTTGTAGACCAGGCTGGTCTCGAACTCACAGAGATCCGCCTGACTCTGCCTCCAGAGTGCTGGGATTAAAGGCATGCGCCACCACTGCCCGGCTACAGAGTGAGTTCTAAGACAGCCAAGACTACATCTGTTTCAAAAAAAAAATTAAAAATCTTTCTAAATATTATCCACACCTGGCAAATGACACAAGTTGATAACCCTAGCCAGCATACAGGAACACCAGAATTGCCTGGAATGGATTTCAATGCCAGGAAATGAAGAGACACAAACATAACACTTCAAGCTGAGACAATGTCTTCCGCTGCGCCACAGGCACCTGAAGGACTTTCTTTCTCATTCTCTCCCACCCATTCCTATTTCTAGTTTTTCTGTAATTGTACAAGGAGCGGACGAGAGGTATGTGGCCACAAACACATTCAGAAAGTTTGTGAAATGAAGCCTAAGAAAGCATACCCAGGAACTTCTCTAGCCTCCCAGGATGGAGTGTGAGTATGTGTGTGTGTGTGAGTGTGTGGCCCTTACCCAACCCATTTCTGCCTACCGCAAAAGGACTGGAAACTGAAGGTGTGACTCAACACCTGTCATCAATATCCTGGCAGGTGGGTGGGAAAAGCAAGAAAGAAAGGAATAGGCTTTTGAAAACAGGAGTAATAAACACCGTTGGACTAGCAAACTGGTTACAAGTGCATAAGAAAGGCAGAGGTAATTTCATCTGCACGCCCTGCCATTGACTTGGCTGAAACCTACAATTGCGTATGGGCACAAATCTCTGCTAGGGTCCAGTTTCCAAAGACTTGCTGGCCAGAGTCAGGAAACAACAAAACACCACTAAGATCCAAAGTGTTTGTTATCAAATCAAAGCGTGACAACCCAGAGCGAGAACACACACCCCCACAATACTTGGCAAATGAAAAGCCTCCAGTAGTTCTGGCATTTAGGGCGTTACAAGCACACCCGAAATAAAAGCACTCTGTTGCAGCAGCTGTTCTGACAGAGCAGGGGGCAATGTTTACTTAATGCTTCAGGTTGATGGGGAATGTATCATAGTTCAGTCTGTCGGCTACATACGTGGAACTCCTTTTATGTACACAGCGATAAGATATGTTTGAATAACGACAGAGCACGTCTATTCAGCGGGTGTGAGTAATCAAGAAGAAAGCGTTAAGGGGGGAGGGGGAGGTCTTACATATTTGAGAAAGTTACAGAACAGACTGCCATGAATAGCTTTGCTTATATTTGCAGACACTGTTTTCCAAATAGCTGAAAAAATGAACAGATTGTTCCAGGAGGTCGTCTTTCCAACTTGTTCCTGGTTTCCAGTCTGTTAATCACAAGAAAGCACAAGGAGAGTCGGCTGTGCTTCAACAGCATCTATTGTCGGTCGGCCCCAACCACCAGGAGGTGAAGAGCAGGCAGAGCACTCCTGAAACCCCGCCTGAGATTTTCTACTTTGAGTCCCTTCACTTGGCTTTTGTGCTCACTGCGGCCACCGCAGGACCCTCTGTGGGGCATAATTGTCAAAAATCTCACGGAGGCAGGTTTCGCCAATGTGCCCAACCCCGCCCCCTTTAGCCTGTATCAACTTTTTTTTTTTCCTTTTAACCCCGATGGGGAGATAATCAAACACCAGAGACAGCAACTGAGGCGAGGCTACAGAGGTCGAGGGTGTCAAGACCGCAGCGCCTGGTCTGCCACTCTGTCAGGGAATGGAGGGAGCTGCCTGACCAGGCCGGAGCCCCAAAGCGGGGGTTCAGCTTGAGACTCTGGTACCTGCAAGGCCAGAAGCAGCTGACTTGCCCTGGCCCGTTCAGGAGCGCCACCTCCGGGTACCAACGCCGGGCCAGCGTACCCCTAGGCATCGCCCATCCCGCCTCTGCCCCTCCCCTGAGCTTATGGTCCTCGGCCTGGCAGACAGCCGCCCGGGCCACCTACCGGGGCTCAGGACCACATAGAGGGGTGCCGGCTCTCGGCGGCCTCCGCCTCCTCCCGGTCCATGGGCTCGGAGGCCCCAAACCTTCTCTCCCCTCACGCAGAGGAGGAGAAAGAGAAAGAAGAAAGTGCTGGCTCCCCACCCGGACAGCTCCCTCTTGCCTCAGCCTCCCTGGACAGCGACCGCGGCCGGAAACGCCGCCTCCTCCCACCTCCCGGGGCTCGACCCGGAAACACACTCCTCATGTTGATCCAGCCCTCCCGCCCCCACCCTCCGGAAGCGCAATTCCAGCCGCGAGCCCGGGATGGGAGGAGGGGCGGTGCTGAGGAGAGGACTACGCACAAGCGAGGACGTCCGGGCCCTCAGCCTTTCGTCTCGAGACGGGCTGCACCTTGCCTCCTTTGCACGAGCACCGAGCCCTCAGTCTCGGGCAGTGCCCACAAGTAAGATGGCCGCACCGGAGGCGCCCCCCTACTGCTTAGCGCCCTGCCGCGCCATTGGCCAGGGGGAGGAGTGAGGACAGCGCTCATTGGTCGAGAGCGATGCGGGGGTGGGGGTGGAGCTGTAGCCGTCTGGAGCCAAGAGTGGGCAACGCGGCGTGAGCAGCGGCCCCAGGCTCCCAGAGCATCGCACCCGGAGAAAGACTTCGCCGCTCGGGGCCGCAGCCTGGTGAGCTCAGCCCCCTTCAAGCCCTCCCCTGCATCTCAGCCGGAGCCTCTCCGAGCCGGCGCTGATCGATGCCGAGGCTCCCCAGGGACCCTATCGCGACTCCATCGCGCCATATCGTGACATCCTCGTGCCCTGTCGAGGCTCCATTTTGTCACAGCCCCTTTCAGTATTTATCTATCTATAATTTTAAAATTTGCCCTATCATATTTGGGGGCTGTCCCCCTTCATGTCGTGATTTCGCTGTGATCTCTCCGTGACATCACCGCGCCATCGTGAAGTGTGATCTCATCGCTGCTCTGTCGTTCGACTTCATCAATGTCGTGTTGTGACCTGGCTGCGGCGGGACAGGTGGTGACCGCCAGGATCCCTTCTCCCCTTCTCATCTCTCCATCACAGCAGCCCCGCTTCGATTATCCGGCTTTTGGAGTCTGTTATCCTGAGAGCTACCTGACCCCTCCTTCCTTCTCCAGCCAGTGCCGGTAGCGGGATGGGCAGGGAGAGTACAGGGAGCATAAAGGGTTAATGCTGCTGCTGCTGCTGCTGCTGCTGCTGCTGCTGCTGCTGCTGCTGCAGCTCCAGCTCCAGCTCCTGCTTCTGCAGCCTGTGCCCGAGGGAGGGAAGAGAGAAGGCAGGGAGGCTGCGGGGGCGATTATGAGTCCTGGCTGGAGGGGTGGGTCCTCAGGGGAGTCTTCAGAGCCCTTTTTGGAGAGCTTGCCTTCTCACTTATGTTGAAACCGGTCTACTTTCTCTGAGGAAGGGAGGGGAAAGGAACCCTAGAATGTCCTTTTCTTCCTTGTCAGTGTGAGTCCGGATAATCGAACTTCACCCATGTATGTCTTCATCCCTCCCCGTCTGTCCTCACCACTCACTCCCCATGTGCCTCCTGGAGAGAGATAAAACCCGGTGTCTAGAGCCAGGCGCTGCTGAACAGTGGAGCCAGCTCTTTCCCACGTCTAGATGGTGGGGAGAGCTGTCCAGCTGAGCAGCAGCCGCACGGTCCTCATTTCCCACTTTTCTGGAGGTGACCTTGGACCAGGGTCCCTTCATCCTAAAGAATTTGCAGGTCCAACCTCTTAAAGGGCTCCCCCCAAGGGAGGTCAGTCATGAGGAAGCCACCCTTTCAAATCCACCCTCCCCTCCCTCTGTGCTAATCCCTCCCTACATCCTCCACTTCCACCCCCGCCCCCGCCCCTCCTCTGCAGAGGGATGCTCAGTCCCTCTTGTGTTCACAGTTGGGCAAGGCGGGCATCATGGCCTCGGATTGTGAGCCAGCTCTGAACCAGGCAGAGAGCCGAAACCCCACCCTGGAGCGCTACCTGGGAGCCCTCCGTGAGGCCAAGAATGACAGCGAGCAGTTTGCAGCCCTGCTGCTAGTAAGGACCTGACTGATAATTGGAAGGTGGGAGGGCTGGACGGGAGGGCACCCAGAGAATGGGGTCAGCAAGTCCCCAGGGATATCTAAGTGGTGTTAGCAACCTGGAGGTACCAGAAAGGCCCAAGAGCTCTCTACCTTTGTACTCTTCTCCCTTGGGAGGGAGGGGGGCGGAGGTGAATAAGGCTGCGGCACTGGGACCATGGAGGAGGCTGCCTGGATTTGCTTTCTGGGGCGTCCCAGAGCAGATGGGAGCTGACTCATAGGGTAACAGCAGCAGGTTGTAACTAGTGCAGAGTACTTGAGGGCTGGGGTGGCTTTTCTTGGACCTGAAAGAGTAACAGGATTAGAAGTAACTAGTGACAGGTTCTAGAAGACGGTCAGAGTGGCCATAGGTGTGTTAAAAAGTAAAGCAGTGGTGTGGGTCTTAGCCTGTTAGAGGAACCCAAGCTGGGGACAGCGGAGCAGGAGCTGCAGTGCTGGGTGGGGGGGTGAGTTGGTGTGTGGGGGGTGAAGGGAGGAGGGAGTGCAGCAGTTGCTTGTTTGCCATGGCAACAGGGAGAAGGCTCTGGAGTCAAGGGCTCACACTGCAGCAGAGGAGGTGTTTAGGTGAAACGTAAGGGGAAATGTTTTGACATGCGGAGCAGCGAGACACAGGAGCCATTTCCCGTGAGAAGGTGGCGGAAATGGATCAGAGACTTCTCTGGAGACAAGTAGTTAGGGAAGGACCCTGCATCCCTCGAGGATTTTAAACATGGGTTCTGAAGCCCCTTGCATCCCAGGTTGTGGGCATATGGATTAATGGACTTGACACCTGGTGACCATTTGCCCAAATGACTGGTCAAGGGCCACTGGACCCCCCTTCCATAAGATAATCATAGATGACAGGGATCCCAGCGGTCACACCTGTCTTGCTCCAAGGAGAAAGGAGGATATGGATGAAATGACCCCAGGATGGATCCCATTGCATAACCCGTTGCTGCTAGCCCTCAGTGCCCAGGGAACAGGGAAAGGACAGTCTGTGCTATGTGTCTTTTCATCCTGCTGATGGTGCGTTACCTCCCACCCACCATAGGTGACCAAGGCAGTCAAAGCAGGTGACATTGATGCCAAAACTCGACGGCGGATCTTTGATGCCGTTGGCTTCACCTTTCCCAATCGGCTCCTGACTTCTAAGGAGGCACCTGATGGCTGCCCTGACCACGTTCTCCGGGCCTTGGGTGTGGCCCTGCTGGCCTGTTTCTGCAGCGACCCTGAACTAGCCAGCCATCCCCAGGTCCTAAACAAGATCCCCATCCTTAGCACATTCCTTACAGCCCGGGGGGACCCTGACGATGCTGCCCGCCGTTCCATGATTGATGACACCTACCAGTGCCTGACAGCTGTTGCAGGCACACCCCGAGGGCCCCGACACCTCATTGCTGGTGGCACAGTATCTGCCCTGTGCCAGGCATACCTGGGGCATGGCTATGGCTTTGACCAGGCCCTGGCACTCCTGGTGGGGCTTCTGGCTGCTGCAGAGACACAGTGCTGGAAGGAGGCGGAGCCCGACCTGCTGGCTGTGTTGCGAGGCCTCAGTGAGGATTTCCAAAGAGCTGAGGATGCCAGCAAGTTTGAGCTCTGCCAACTGCTGCCCCTTTTTCTGCCCCCAACAACTGTGCCCCCTGAATGCCACCGGGATCTGCAGGCCGGGCTGGCACGCATCCTAGGAAGCAAGTTGAGCTCCTGGCAGCGCAACCCTGCACTGAAGCTGGCAGCCCGCCTGGCTCATGCCTGCGGCTCCGACTGGATCCCAGTGGGCAGCTCTGGGAGCAAGTTTCTGGCCCTCCTGGTGAATCTGGCGTGTGTGGAGGTGAGGCTGGCTCTGGAGGAGACAGGCACAGAGGTGAAAGAAGATGTGGTAACTGCCTGCTATGCCCTCATGGAGTTGGGCATTCAGGAGTGTACCCGCTGTGAGCAGTCCCTGCTGAAGGAGCCGCAGAAAGTGCAGCTTGTGAGCATTATGAAGGAGGCCATTGGAGCTGTCATTCACTACCTGTTGCAGGTAAGGGGCCATGGGCCTACAGAGGAGCTAGGAGTGTAATGGGGAGATGGCATGCCTTCATGTACACGCTGGCTGATTCTATAGCAGGCACTCTAGGAGTAGTGTGTGGCCGAGCCTCCTTCCCTCTCCCTCCCTGCCGTGGGCCTCCACACGAGCACCATACCACACACCATATGTGCGCTCTGATCACAGCACACACACACACACAACACAGTAACCTCCCACTCACATATACTCCCGGTTCACACACTCTACACATCAAAATCAAGCAGTCTCTTCTGCTCACGCTACACCATTGTCTTACATATCAGCATGCCTACATATTTATGTGTCTTACATGTAAACTTGTGGAATGCAGGAGAAAGTGGGGGGGGCAGGGAATGGCATGGTTCCCGCCTCTGTAGAGTCTCGGCTAAATCTCTTTCCCCCACCCTCCTGTCCACTCTGTGTGTTTGAGAGGCCGCCTCTTCTGCTCCGTTAGGATTGAGACATGAATGGTCTCTTCAGTGGCCTGCTTCAGCCTCTGGACTCACCAGCCTTCTACGTAGTAACTTATGCTATGCTCTGGTTGGTCTCCTTTTCCGATTTAACCCAAATAGGAGTGACTCCCAGCCCCTCAGTTCAGAGCCTCTCTAAAGGACTACCATTTAGCCGTGGACCCCGAGTTTCCCCTGGTTCCCTTGTTACCTTAAGAGGTAGAGCATTGGGGGGGTGTGACCTGGGTCTCAGCATCAGGCATGTTGTCTGAGACCAACTTGACGGAGTTGTCTACACTGGGGTCCTGCTGGGTGACTAGCCCCTGTGGGGTGAGCCCCTCCCGTGTGCTGGGTTTCAGGTGGAAGTAGGCTTGGTGCCCTTCTTGGGAGTGGGCAGGGAGGTTTGTTTTGTTCAGAATTTTTTGTTCGTTGGTTTGGTTTTGGTTTTGGTTTTTTTCTGTATAGCCCTGGCCGTTCTGGAACTCATTCTGTAGAACAGGCTGACCTTGTACTCATAGAAATCCACTTGCCTCTGCTTCCCGAGTGTTGGGATTAAAAGTGTACATCGCGCACCACCTGGCTTTTTTTTTTTAAGTTACATTTATTTATCTGTTTCTTAGATGGGGTGAAGGGGCAGTGCATGCATGCCACAGCACACATGTGGAGGCTGGAAGACAAGTCAGTTCTCTCCT